ATGGAGGGGCACAAGCTCGAGGAGGCCAGGTAGCTGATTTGTTAAAAATCAGTATACACGTCGCCATTTAAACGCGGCGGAAGAAAATATGGACCAATCTAAAAATCGTTTACGAAAAAATTTACATTTGGCAGAGAAAAGAATATTATTTTTTACAATTATATCATGTACTCACCACTTGACTCCCAATCATTCCTGCCCATACATTGAGAGACCATCTATGTTGAAACGCTGTTTCGCGAACAACGTGAGGATTTTCGTCAGTCCAATATAAAAAATTGTGCGTATTAAACGCGCCATTCGGTGTAAACGTAGCTTCGTCAGTCCATAAAATTAAGTCGGGAAACAATGCATTCCGCCGACATTGCGCGAGGAAGCCTGTGCACATTTTATTGACAGTTATTATATACTAAAAAGTATGGCAAATATAAAAAAAATTGGTTATGACAATACCTTCACAAAAATAAATGCGTTGTTGTTCGTCTCCTACTGATTGCTGTTGCACACGTTGATAATGGTACGGGCGCAATCCATTTAAACGTAAAGTGCGATGCACCGCGCATCTTGATACATTTAAACGGCGTGCCAAACGACGAGCACTTATTCCAGGGTCTGTTTCAACTGCCCGAAGAATTTCCTCATCAACGCGGACGCGACGACGCACTGCAATTTCGCGATTAATATGTGCGAAACATCCCGTTTCGCGTAATCGCTCTACAGCGCGAAAAATTTGACGTGCTGTAGGGTGTCGCTCACGCCTAGGAAATCTCTCCGCGTAAATTCGCGCCGCGGCTCTTGCATTTTCTCCCGCTCGGCCGTACGCAATTATCATATCGCAGTATTCCTGCGAGGTAAATCTCATTGTTCCAAAATTGTCGCTATATGGAAAACACACGATGAAGCGCGATAACACGCGAGTCGAATGCAGAACCAAATAGCAACAAGGGCTATGGCGACCGTGGCGCAGCGCGCTTAACTTCACGTTAAGCGTTCAACAAAATTATTTTCAGTTATTCAATTATTCTCATCATTATCATTTGTAACTAGTTATATCAATAAATACTTGAGTAAAACCCTTCTTTCTATGCACGCTCGCACACATGCGCGCGTACACATATAAGAAATACATTACGTTCTTAGAAGAATTTATTATAATACGCAGCCTCTCACTATTTTATAATTTATGATAATTGTTATTTTTAATTTATTTTTTATCTGTTTGACTTAATATGTAAAAGTTGTAGGTGAAGAAGGTTCTGTGTCGAAACGTATTAATGTTTTTTTTATAGAAAC